AGCCACAAATTGGCTTTCTGCAACAGAAAAATTCATAAAACCTTCAGGTACGTTTGGATCCAGTATTCAACTGATGCCATCGACAAAGCCTTGGCTGGGCATGGTCGCTCACACCTGTAATTCAGCATTTTGGGAGGCCAAAAGGCAGAAGGATGACTTGAGCCTGAGTTCCAAAATCAGCCTGGGCAACGTAGACCCTGTCTCTACAAATAAAAAAAATTTTTTTTTAATTAGCTGGGTGTGGGCTGGGCACGGTGGCTCACGCCTGTGATCCCAGCAGTTTGGGAGGCTGAGGTGGGCAGATCACCAGAGGTCGGGAGTTTGAGACCAGCCTGACCAACATGGAGAAACACTGTCTCTACTAAAAATACAAAATTAGCCGGGCACGGTGGGGCATGCCTGTAATCGCAGCTACTCAGGAGGCTGAGGCAAAAGAATCACTTGAAGGCCGGGCGCGGTGGTTCACGCCTGTAATCCCAGCACTTTGGGAGGCCGAGGCGGGTGGATCATGAGGTCAAGAGATCGAGGCCATCCTGGTCAACATGGTGAAACCCCGTTTCTACTAAAAATACAAAAAATTAGCTGGGCATGGTGGCGCGTGCCTGTAATCCCAGCTACTCAGGAGGCTGAGGCAGGAGAATTGCCTGAACCCAGGAGGTGGAGGTTGCAGTGAGCCAAGATCGCGCCATTGCACTCCAGCCTGGGTAACAGGAGTGAAACTCTGTCTCAAAAAAATAAATAAATAAATAAATAAAATAAATAAATAAAGAATCACTTGAGCCCTGGAGACAGAGGTTGCGGTGAGCCGAGATCACGCCATTGCACTTCAGCCTGGGCAACAAGAGCGAAATACCATCTCAAAAAAAAAAAAAACACTAGCTGGGTTTCGTGGTGTGCACCTGTAGTCCCAGAAACTCTGGGGGCTGAGGTGGGAGGATCACTTGAGCCCAAAAGGTAGAGGCTGCAGTGAACCATGAACACACAACTGCACCCTAGCCTGGGTGACAAAGCAAAACTCTGTCTCGAAAAAGAAAGAAATGTCTACTGATCTCTTGACTTTTTTTTTCCCTTTTGAGACAGTCTCTGTTGCCCAGGCCAGAGTGCAGCCTCAAACGCCTGGGCTCAAGGAATCTTCCAGCCTCAGCCTCCTGAACAGTTGGGTCTACAGGCATGTACCACCATGCCCAGCTAATTTTTAAAATTTTTGTAGAGATGGATCTTGAATTCCTGGGCTCAAGTGATCCTCCTGCCTCTACCTCCCAAAGCACTGGGATTACTGGCATAAGCCACTGCAGCCAGGCGTTTCTTGATTATTCTGCGTTTCCTTCATTGTCAGCTAAATTATTCCCAAAAGATGGCAAAATAGCCACCAACACCTCCAAGTGTATAACTTACTTGCTTAGCCAACCCAGAGGGGAATAAAAATTTCCTTCCCGGTAAGTTTTATCAAAGATCCTAGGATTGCATCTCAGTTGGGCTGACAGGTCACTACTCCCCTTCTATCCCGCAACAACCCCAACCAGTCACTAGCCTGAGGAGGCAGGCATATTGGAATGCTTTGATTTGCTAAGCCTGTGTCTTCTGCCCACAAAGGAAATGCAAAATAAGGCAACCCCACCAAACCACAGGGACTGAGAGACTCAGAGGAAGAGTAGTTCCCCAAGGGAAAAAAATCAGTGTTCTTTTTTTTTTAACTTTTTTTTTTTTTCTTTTAACTTGTCTGTAAAATCAGTGTTCTTACCAGAAGGAGGAATAATAGCTGTGGAGCAGACAAAATCAGGAGTCCACCATTACAAGGTGGACTGCAGCCACAGGTAACGGGTGGGTCACATTCATGGTAATCCATACAGGTGGACTTACTCCCTACCTTTTTTTTTTTTTTTTTTTTTGAAACAGGGTCATATTCTGTCACCCAAGATGAATGCAGTGGTGCAACTGTCTCACTGTCATCTCAAACTCCTGGGCTCAAGTGATTTATTTCCCCTTAGCCTCCCTAATAACTAGGACTACAGGCAGGCACCCACCATGCCTGGCTAATTTTTTGTAGAGACAGGGGCTCCCTATGTTGCCCAGGCTGGTCTCAAATTCCTGGGCTCAAGTGAACCTCCCACCTCAGTCTCCCACAGTGTTGAGATTACAGGCATGGGCCACTTTACTCAGCCTCTATCAGAATTTCTATGGATGATAAAAAGAAATCCCAGTCCTGGTTTTTTCTTTACTTGTTGAGCCAGGGATAGTCATTTTCCACCCCTGGGCCACTTTTCCCCTTGAAGGGAAGGATTGACTTGGTGTAAAATCTGTCATAATTTAAAAATATACATCTATTGAATCGGACTCTATATTTCCATTTGTGCAGGCTAAAAACCTTGGAGTCATCCTTTTCTCTTACACACTCCTATCCATTTTGTCAACAGGTCCTGTTTTTTCTTTTTGAGATGGGGTCTTGCTACATTGCCCAGGCTGAAGTTCAGGGGCACTATCATGGCTCACGGAAGCCTCAACTTCCCAGGACTGAAGTGATCCTCACACCTCAGCCTTCCAAGTAGCTGGGACTAGAGGCACACGCCACCACACCTGGCTCATTTAAAAATTTTTTTTTGTAGAGACAGGGTCTCACTTTGTTGCCCAGGCTGGTCTTGAACTCCTGGGCTCAAGCAATCTCCTCACCTCAGCCTCCCAAAGTGCCGACATTACAGCATGAGCCACCACAGTCATCCCAACAGATCCTGCAGACTTTACCTTCAAATCCAGAATTCAACCATGTCTCACCATCTCCCCCAACCTTGTGCAAACCATCAACATCTCTTGCTAAGATCATTGCCACAGCCTCCTGCCTGGTCTCCCTGCTTCCACCCTCGTGCCCCTGGCAGTTTATTCTCACCACACAGTAGCTCTGCATCTCATTCAAAGTAAAGGCCACACAGCCCTAAATGATCTATCCCTTCTCATGTCCTACTCTTATATCTATACCTATGCCACACTGGGCTCCTTGTTATTTCTTAAACCCACCCTCTTGGCTGGGCACAGTGGCTCATGCCTGTAATCCCAGCACTTTGGGAGGCCAAGGCGGGTGGGTCACTTGAGGTCAGGCGTTCAAGATCAGCCTGGCCAACAAGATGAAACCCAGTCTCTACTAAAAAATACAAAAATTAGGCCAGGCACGGTGGCACACCGCCAGCATTTTGGGAGGCTGAAGTGAGTGGATCATTTGAAGTCAGGAGTTCGAGACCAGCCAGGCCAACATGGTGAAATCCCGCCTCGTAAAAAATACAAATACCTGCCTCTTGGCCGGGCATGGTGGCAGGCACCTGTATTCCCAACTACTTGGGAGGCTGAGGCAGAAGAAATCCTTGAACCCGGGAGGTGGAGATTGCAGTTAGCCAAGATTGCACCACTGCACTCCAGCCTGGGCAACAGAGAGGAGACTTCAGTCTCCAAACAAAAAACAAACAAACAAAAATTAGCTGGCCATGGTGGCACATGCCTGTAATCTCACCTATGTGGGAGACTGAGGCAGAATTGCTTGAACCCAGGAAGTGGAGGCTGCAGTAAGCCAAGATTGCTCCACCGTACTCAAGCCTGGGCAACAGAGTGAGCCTCCACCTCAAAAAAATAAAATAAAATAAATAAACAAATACACCCTCTTGTCTGAGGGCCCTTGCACTATTCCCTCTGCCTGGAATGCCCCCTTTCTCCAGAAATCTCACAACTGACTCACTCATTTCCTTCATGTGTTTACTCAAGTCAACTCTGAAGCCTACTCTGCCTGCCCTATTTAAAACCCCATCCCCCTTTCCTGTTTTTCCTCCACACCAATCATTCCTTTATAACATACTACAGAATTTACCAATTTTGTTCCTACCTCCTTCCACTTGACTTAAGCTCTGTAGTGGCTATTAATGAAATATCTACTAATTCATTCAATTAATTGAATACTAATAGATGCCAAGCACTGTGTTAAGCAATGGAGCTCCAAGTTGACTAAAACTGCTTATAGGTCTTGTGAGGAAAGAAATCCTAATGACAATAAATGTAGCTCATTTAGCGAATGCTTCTCGAAACATCATGACGACTAACACCGACTAAAACAGACTCGGGGCCGGGCGCGGTGGCTCACGCCTTGTAATCCCAGCACTTTGGGAGGCCGAGGCGGGCGGATCACAAGGTCAGGAGATCGAGACCATCCTGGCTAACACGGTGAAACCCCGTCTCTACTAAAAATACAAAAATTAGCCGGGTGTGGTGGCGTGCGCCTGTAGTCTCAGCTACTTGGGAGGCTGAGGCAGGAGAATTCCCTGAACCAGGGAGGCGGAGGTTGCAGTGAGCCGAGCACTCCTCTGCACTCCAGCATGGGCGACAGAGCAAGACTGTCTCAAAAAAAAAAAAAAAAAAAAAGACTCAGTTCTGCCTGCACTATCTCATTTAACCCGGACCGAAACCTACACCGTGAGTATCAAGAGCCTCATCGTAAACCGTAAAAAACAAGATTTCAAGGCTGGGAAACGGCAGTCAGGATTTGAACCACGGTGTTGACAATGAGAATGGAGAGTAGCGTCAAATGTGAGAAACATTTAGGACGTAGGCTCACAAAGACTAAGGCAATTATCGGATGTTAGGGCCGAGGGAGAGGGGGAAATGACTCCTGGGTTTTGACTGGGGTGGACCAAAGCGCAGGGAGGCCTAAGAGAAGGATGAAGTGCGACGTGGGGCTGGGCTGGAGGTGCCCGCCGGCCGCTCAGGGATCTGGTCCATCTCCAGGGAATCAGAGAGGCGGCTCCGAACCCTCCCCCACCCGCCGCCGCCCCGGACCTTGAGATGCTGGGAGAAGACACGCACGGGAAGAGCAGGAGGTGGGTTCCGTTCCCCTCCCTCTTGAGTCTCTTCAGCAGCAGCTGCAGGAAGGGCGTAGGGGACCGCGAGACAAAGAGCACCCCAGCACCGCCTTTGTCCGGGCGGGCCCTTTAAGAGGCGCGCGCCAGCTTCCAGCCCGCCTTGTATGCAAATGTAGCGGCGCGGCGGGAGCGCGCGGCTGATACCCGGGACTGGGCTGCGGCGGTTAGTCCTCTCTCGGCCGCCGTCGCCTCCGACATATTGCCCGTAGGAGCTGCGGCGGCGAAGCGGCGAGCGCCGGGGGGAGGAGATGGGTGAGCAGAGAGGCTCAGGCTCGGCCCGGCAACGAGCGGGTGCGCGGGTTAGGATGGCCAGGCTGCTAATTGCTGCCCCACGCGGACAGAAGCCCGGCGACGGGAGGGGGAGGGGATGCGGGCGCAAACGGGATCCCGCCCCCTCCTGTCGTTTTGCGGGGTTGGGCCTCTTGTGGGGGCGGGACATTGGGGTGGTGGGCGGGGCTTTTAAGACGAGGGCCTGTGAGGGCTTGGGCTTTGGTGAGAACTCGCTGGTCGGGGTTGGGGGGGGCGGGACTTACCAGTGGGCGTGGCTTCAGCGCTAAGGGCGGAGCTTCTGGGCTTGGGACTCTAGTGCAGGCGGAGTTTCTGGGCTGGAGGGGCTTACACTGGGGGTGGTGGGGCGAGAAGACTTCCGACTCAGGGAGCCTATTCTAGAGTGGGGCTTCTGGGCTGAGAGGACTTTTATTGGCTTGTTCTGGGGCGGGGTTTCTCGGCTGACAGTTGTGTGTAGGCGGAGCTTCTGGGCTGAGGGGCTTTATGTGGGTGCAGAGCTTCTAAAGACAGGAGAGTGGGTGTGGGCACAGCTTCTGGACTAAAGGTGTTTGTGTGGGATTTTCTAAGCCAAGTATAATAGCGTATGAACAGAGCTTCTGGTTTGGGGGTTTGTGGAGGGCAGAGCTCCCCGCCAGCTACTTTTTAGAGACTCGTGGAGGTTTTTAATTTTGGGCATACATCCAGGCCCAAAATTGGCTCCAAAGTGTGGGAAACGCTTCCTAACTGAGATGCTATGGGCAGGGATGTATGTGAATGGAGGCTGCTGTGTTACTGTGAAGAGGTTTGAACAGGTTGTAACTTTTAAAATATATATATAAAACTTTAAAAAAAATGTGTGTATGTATATATTTTTAATAGAGACGGGGTTTTGCCATGTTGCCCAGGCTGGTCTCCAACTCCTGGCCTGAAGCGATCCTCCCACCTCGGCTTCCCAAAGTGCTGAGAACAGGCGTAAGCCACCACGCCCAGCCAGGCTGTGACTTTTTTAGGTGCCACTTTGTGCAGAACTTTGTGCATAGTGGTACATGGGAGCTTGGTCTAGACTGCTCAGCCTAGTAGGTCCAAGTTTTTGGTCCACAACCACAGCATTCTCCCAGCCATATCCTGACCCTGTGTCCTGCTCATGAAATACCAGGATGTCTATTGAGCTGAATTATGGGGCCCTGGAGGAAAAAGCTGTTCCAAAGTTACTCAGAGTTATAGGCCTCCAGAAACTTATGTCTGAATGGGCCCCAGGGTGTACCAGAGCTGAGACCACAAGACCCAGCCACGATACTGTAACACAGTGTAAGCTGAGTTTTCTAATGTGTGAAAAACCTACCTTGCTGGGTTAATTCACTCATCAACATATACTTGCTGGGCACTGTGGTAGGGGATATAGCAGTGAAAAAGAATAGGTAACTGACCTAATTGACCTTCCATTGTAGTGGGACAGACAAGCAATAAGCATGTTAACAAATGAGTAAGGTAATTTCAGAGAGTGAATTGTAGTGGAAAAAAAAGAATAGAAATTGCAGAGAGAGTGATGGGGAGAGCTTCTTCAAAATGTCAGAAATGGCACTTATGCAACAGTCCTGCATGTTCTGCACATGGACCCCAGAACCTAAAGTGCAATAAAATACATATATTTTTTAAAAAGTCTGAAATGGCAGTCAGGGAAGGACTTTCCAGTTAGGATATAGCAAGCGCAAGAGGTAACAATGAGCTTGCTTGCTGAGGAAAGAAAGATCAAGATGTTTAGAGCATGGGGCTGGGGGTAGAGTGTGGGTGTGAGGTAGAGAATGATAGGGGATGAAGTTGAAGATATAAGAAGGGGCCAGATCATAGGTCTCAGTGAGGATTAAATGAAAAAATGGGATACTAGGTGACTGGTAACCAGTATCATTGTTGTTATCCTTGATATATGCCCCCTGGCTTGAGGCTGTATTTTATGTTGAGCCCCACAGGAGGACGAAGAGGTCCCAACAGGACGTCTTACTGTCGAAATCCGCTCTGTGAGCCAGGATCCTCAGGGGGCTCTAGTGGAAGCCATACTTCCAGCGCATCAGTGACCAGTGTTCGTTCCCGTACCAGGTAAACCACCTCTCTGACTAGCCCCTCACTGTGGCCTCACAGCAACAGTGTGGACAGGGCTCTCTAGATTCTAAGATGTGATATCCTAGTTGCCAGTGGGGGCTTAGAGCGGAGTAAGCAGCAGAAAAAACCCAGAGGGAGCTCAGTTGAGGGTGATCACATGGACAGATGCAGTGGGACATGGTAGAATAAATCCGAAAGCCCGGATTCTAACTACAGTTCTGCTCCAGATTTGCTGATGGTTTGGACAAGTTGCCTCCCCTCTCTGGGCCTCCTCTTCCTCTTCTGTAAGATGGACCTAATAATTCTTTCTCTCCTAGGGGGTTTTGGAAGACCTGAATAAGATTAGGGATAGGAAAAGGCTTTGTCAGGTCCCTGTCTGAAAAGCAGCATTAGGAAGACTCTGTCTTTGTCATGAGCTGCTTTTCTGATCTTACCCCACAATCCTTTGCCTCAGAAGCTCTCCTTGTTAGGGTTCTCAGGTCAGCTCCTGATGTTTTTCCCTCTCCACTGCCAGGAGCAGTTCTGGAACAGGCCTCTCCAGCCCCCCTCTGGCCACCCAAACGGTTGTGCCTCTACAGCACTGCAAGATCCCTGAGCTGCCAGTCCAGGCCAGCATTCTGTTTGAGTTGCAGCTCTTCTTCTGCCAGCTCATAGCGCTCTTTGTCCACTACATCAACATCTACAAGACAGTGTGGTGGTATCCACCTTCCCACCCGCCCTCCCACACCTCCCTGGTAGGTACCCAACAAGGGGCGGGGTGTGTGTGTGTGTGTGTGTGTGTTCTTTTGGTTTCAATTTAGCATAGCCTACTAAGCACCACTGTGCACTTGTCTCCGTGCTGAACATGGAAGGTGCTGAAGGAACTGGAAACCGATGATTCACTGAATACTCCTAGTGTGTTCAGTACCACATAGGGCACTGTAATTGTATTGGAGAGGAATCTGACACAGATTTTGCCTGAAGGAGCTTAGAGTCTTTTTTTTTTTTTTTTGGAGATGGAGTTTCGCTGTTACTGCCCAGGCTGGAGTGCAATGGCACAGTCTTGGCTCACTGCAACCTCTGCCTCTTGAGTTCAAGCGATTCTCCTGCCTCAGCCTCCTGAGTAGCTGGGATTGCAGGTATATGCCACCACGAGTCCAGCTATTTTTGTATTTTTAGTAGAGGCGGGATTTCACTATGTTGGTCAGAGTAGTCTCCAACTCCTAACCTCAAGTGATCCACCTGCCTCAGCCTCCCAAAGTGCTGGGATTACAGGCATGAGCCATCACACCTGGCCAGGAGCTCAGAGTCTTAATCCAGTAGTGTAGGTGAACCACGGGCATGCATGAGTGTTTCAAGGGGAGTAAAGACTCAGTGCAGAAACAGTATAGGGACAGGGCCATGGGTGAGTAGAGCAAGAGGGCTCACATACCACTCTCTTATCCCCAGGGACTGTCCCACTTCCTTTCTCGGGGTCCTCTTCTACTCCTCTAGGTAATTTCCTGGCCTGGCTCAGGTGGAGGCCGATGAAGGTCAGAGAATGGGGACAGTCTCTGTGGAAACAAATGGGCAGGGGGAGGTGGGTATGAAAAAAGCCTATGTATGGGCCAGGGGCCCACATGACCCCCAGGCCTCTGCCCCCTGACAGAACTTCCACCTGATCGACTTCAACTTGCTAATGGTGACCACCATCGTTCTGGGCCGCCGCTTCATTGGGTCCATCGTGAAGGAGGTGATTGGGTCCTAGAGGCCAGCCAGGGACTTTGGGATTCCCCTTTTCCCCTGGGGATGCTAAGGAGACATGCCCAACCCTTCAGCCTTGGGGTATTTCCTTGGGAATCCCGTTGTACTTGGTCGAAGAACATTAGTTATATCCCATCAACTCTTGGAGTTTACTGGGCATCAAAGAGCAGGATTTACCTTGCCAGGTTCTGCCCAGCCTGCTGTGCCACCTCTCCCTGGGTGGGATCACAGGTCATGCTGGGTGGGATTTGGGCACAGTCCCTTCGACCTCCATCCAAGGCCCCATCCCGTCCTATCTTGCCCTGACCCAGGCTTCTCAGAGGGGGAAGGTCTCCCTCTTTCGCTCCATCCTGCTGTTCCTCACCCGCTTCACCGTTCTCACGGCAACAGGCTGGAGTCTGTGCCGATCCCTCATCCACCTCTTCAGGACCTACTCCTTCCTGAACCTCCTGTTCCTCTGCTATCCGTGAGTACCCCTCACTTCACCCCTCATTGCCCAGCACCTGGCCCCTCACCTCTGCCCTGACCATGGCTGGCTCACCAGGCCTATGATCTGGAAGATCAGAGGCAGGCAGCAACATCCTCTCACATTGTCTGATGACATCCACTGAGGTCAGGATAATTAGCCTTTTTTTGCAGAAGAAACTGAGGTGGCATAATTTACCCAGCCCTCACTATGGGGGAGGTCAGAATGGGACTCATATCTACATATATGTCCCAAAGGAACATTCCCAAGAGAGAATGCATGGGGTTTGTCTCCCTCGCTCTTCCTTTCCTCTCTCTCTGGTTCTTTCCTTTCTCTGTGTCTCTCTTTGTGTATCTAAGTGTTTGTGTAATCTCTTGGTATCTCCCCGAGTCTGTGTGCCTGCAAACAGCTGCACGGTTGCATATCTCTGTAGGGGTGTCTATGCATGAAGCATGTGTGTGTGTCTGCATATGCATGTGTGTATGTCTTTGTGTCTGTTTTTGCTCTCTTTTTCCATCTCACCAGACCCCAGATGGTTGAGGATGGAGAGTGTGTGTCAGGGACGTGCCTAGGACTGCTCCTTTCTGGCCTTGCATCAGGGAAAGCTTTGGTGAGGTGTTGGATCTGGCTGCTTCTGTGGGAGGCTTCTGGCTGCGTGAGCATTTACACTCATTTCCCAACCCCCAGGTTTTCTGGTTCACAAAATTCCTCAAGCTGGGTCAATCTTGGTCTCTGGGAAGCTTCAAAGCTGGCACCTTTCCCTTTCTACTCTGCATGACCAAAAAAGCACTGGCATGGGAGCCCTGTCACACTTGCATCAATTATATCTACTTTTTAATTATAAGAGGGACACATGGCCAGGCAAGGTAGCACAAACCTGTAATCCCAACACTTTGGGAGGCTGAGGGCGGGCAGATTGCTTGAGTCCAGGGGTTTAAGACCAGCCTGGGCAATATGGCAAAACCCTGTCCACTAAAAACACAAAAAAACTAGCCCGGTGTGGTGATGCATGCCTGTAGTTCCAGCTACTTAGGAAGCTGAGGTGGGAGAATCACCTGAGCTTGGGTACAATCGGCTAAAATCGTGCCACTGCACTCTATCCTGGGCAACTGGAGTGAGGTCCTGTCTCAAAAAAAAAAGTGACATGTGTGTCTTATAAAAACATTAAACTTTACAGAACCTTTTAACCTGGAAAAAGAAAATCCATATAGTCTTATTCCCCCAGAAATCCATTACTGGCAGCATATTTTCTGAAATATATTCTGTGCAAGTACATACACATGCAGGGTTTGTTTGTTTGTTTGTTTTTGAGACAGAGTCTTGTGTCACCCAGGCTGGAGTGTAGTGGTGCTATCTCGGCTCACTACAACCTCTGCCTCCTGAGTTCAAGCAGTTCATCTGCCTCAGCCTCCAAAGTAACTGGGATTACAGGTGTCCACCACTGCGCCTAGCTACTTTTTGTATTTTTAGTAGAGATGGGGTTTCACCATGTTGGCCAGGCTAGTCTCAAACTCCTGACCTCAAGTGATCTCCCACCTCATCCTCCCAAAGTGTTGGGATCACAGGCATGAACTACCATGCCTGATCACATGCAATTTTCTAAAAAACAAAAATAGTATTATGCTATGCATGATGTACAATTTACCGTACTTTTCACTTAACCGTATAACTTGGATATTTTTCTATGGCAATACATACGGGTCTGTCTCATCATTTTATTTTATCTTAGAGATGAGGGTCTTGCTGTATTGTCCAGGCTGGCGTGCAGTGGCTATTAACAGGTCTGTTCCCACTACTGATCAACACAGGAGTTTTGACCTGTTCTAGTTCTAACCTGGGCCAGTTTATTCCCTCCTTAGGCAACCATGTGGTCCCCCACTCCCAGGAGGTCACCATGTGGATGCTGAACTTTGATGCAAGCACCTCACTGGCATAGCACATTATAGCCTAGAACTCCCTAGCTCAAGTGATCCTCCCACCTCAGCCTCCTAAGTAGATGGGACTATAGGCATTGGCCACCACACCCAGCTGCCTCATTTTTTCAATGGCCTCATAGTATTACATGTTACAGAATTTTCACAATTTATCTGTCTTCTATTGGCAGACTTTTAAGTTGTTCCTAGCTTTTCCTTACTCATAAGAATGAGTCAGGAAACACTTTTTTGTGTATATCTTTGCATATGTATCCAATATTTCTGCTCAGTAGATTCCCAAGAATTACTAAACCAAAAAATGTATTCCTTTACATTCTCCGTAGATATTAACAAATTACCCTTCAAAAGGGTTGTACTGGTTGGTACTTAAGAGCTGTCTTAGGAGGCCGGGCGCGGTGGCTCAAGCCTGTAATCCCAGCACTTTGGGAGGCCGAGGCGGGTGGATCACGAGGTCAAGAGATCGAGACCATCCTGGTCAACATGGTGAAACCCCGTCTCTACTAAACCACAAAAAATCAGCTGGGCATGGTGGTGCGTGCCTGTAATCCCAGCTACTCAGGAGGTTGAGGCAGGAGAATCACTTGAACCTGGGAGGCGGAGGTTGCAGTGAGCCAAGATGGTGCCATTGCACTCCAGCCTGGGCAACAAAAGTGAAACTCCATCTCAAAAAAAAAAAAAAAAAAGAGTTGCCTTAATTTGACAGTTTATGGTTACTGCCTGGTGAATCTCTTCTCCCTGGGTACAGATAACACCCAATGTCCACATATGCTTTATTTTTTATTTAATTTATTAATTGGCCAAATATAATCATATTGTAAAAAATTAAATCCAGTAGTGCTAAAAAGCTTATAATGAAAACCGTTGCTGGGCACGTAGCTCATGCCTGTGATCTCAGTGACTTGGGAAGCTGAAGTGAAAAGATCGCTTTAGCTGGGGAGTTTGAGGCCAAAGTGAGCCATAATCACACCAGTGGACTTCAGCCTGGACAACAGAGTGAGACCCTGGCTCTAAAAATAAATAAATAGAAAAACATTAACCTCCAACCCCGCCCTCCAGATTTTTAGTCCCACTCTTCAATAGCTATCTCTTTTTCTTTTTTTTTTAACTTTCTGGGTTGGTTTTTTTGTTTTGTTTTGTTTTTTGTTGTTTTTTTTTTTTTTGTAAATGATTCTCCTGCCTCAGTCTCCCAAGTAGCTGGGACTAAAGGTGTGCACCACCATGTCTGGCTAATTTTTATATTTTTAGTAGAGATGGGTCTTCACCATGTTGGCCTGGCTGGTCTCAAACTCCTGACCTCAGGTGATTCGCCCACTTCAGCCTCCCAAAGTACTGGGATTACAGGCATGAGCCACTGCGCCTGGCCTGTTTTTTCTTTTTTAAAATTTATTTATTGGCCATTTTTTTAAATTGATTTTAAAATTGGGTAATAGGTTTACATAATTAAAATTGAGAAGGCTTAAAAGAGTGTACTGTGAAAAAGTCTCCCCTTGACTGCTGCCTCCCAGCCACCCAGTTTCCTTTCTAAGAGGTAATCATCAATGTTTTTGATTTCTTGAATATCCTGGAAACAATTGTTCTATGCATATACAGACATATCACATACACATATATGCAAGTATATTTGATTCCCTGCGGTGACAGATGATTTGGCTCACCATCCCATTGTTGCTGTTCGCAGTAACTGATAGCTTTTAATATTTTTAATTTTCTATTGGTTATTTTTGTCAATAGTATAAGTATGCCTCTACTTTTTTTTTCCATCAGCAATAGTCGATATCTTGAATCTTTTTTATGTAAGACAAGAATATTAGGCACCCTACCCAACCACTTTTCCTTCCCTCTTCCTCTTTTCACTTCCTGGCAGCTGTATTTTCACTTTCATATTGTCAAGCTTACATTCACATTCTCCTGCTTAAATGTAACCACATTTAAGCCTTCCATTCTTTGTCTAAGCTTAATTCTGAAAATAAAAAACTAAGTGGGGCTTTGATATGATGATGTGTATGAAAATATAGTTCACTGCAGGGCCCAGTAATATGTGTGGATGATATTTCTTTTTTCTTTTTTTTTTTTTTTTTTTTTTTTTTTGAGAAGGAGTCTCACTCTGTTGCCAGGCTGGAGTGCAGTGTCATGATCTCGGCTCACCGCAACCTCTGCCTCTCAGGTTCAAGCAATTCTGCTTCAGCCTCCTGAGTAGCTGGGACTACAGGCGCACGCCACCACGCTCTGCTAATTTTTGTATTTTTAGTAAAGACGGTGTTACGCCATGTTGGCCAGGATGGTCTCGATCTCTTGACCTTGTGAACCACCCGCCTCGGACTCCCAAAGTGCTGGGATTACAGGTGTAAGCCACCGCACCCAGCCTGTAGTTGATATTTCTTCTCTATAGTTACAGAGTTACAGTCTTAGACCTCTTTATTTATTCATTTTTATTTATTTATTTTTGAGATGGAGTCTTGGGTCTTGGTCTATCACCCAGGCTGGAGTGCAGTGGTGCAATCTCGGCTCACTGCAACCTCTGCCTCTCAGGTTCAAGCAATTCTCCTGCCTCAGCCTCCCAAGTAGCTGGTATTACAGGTGCGCACTACCATGCCTAGCTAATTTTTTGCATTTTTAGTAGAGACGCCTTTTACCGCATTGGCTAGGCTGGTCTCGAACTCCTGACTTCAAGTGCTCCACCAGCTTTGGCCTCCCAAAGTGCTGGATTACGGGAGTGAGCCACCATGCCCACCCAGGAACATTTTTTTAAATGACCTCTTTTTTTTTTTTTCTTACTGATCCTTATAAAATGACCTCTTTAAAAGACCTGTATGCCCAGCTGCTCAAGAGGTACAAGAATCTCTTGAACCCAGGAAGCAGAGGTTGCAGTGAGCTGAGATCGTGCCACTGCACTCCAACCTGGGCAATAGAGCAAGACCCTGTTTGAGACACACACACACACACACAAAATGTTCCTAGTGTCCAGGTGAAGTGGTTTCTCTTTTCTTACATTCTATCAACGACTTAAAATCATAGCACATTTTAGTTTGCTTCATACTTAGATCATATCTTTCTTATATGGCTTTT